TGCTACAACAGGAACTTAGGTATAGTTTGAGTAGACGAATGCGCATTGTTAATGGATGAATTTGAGTTTATTTTGTAAAGAAAGAGCAGGATACTCGGACCAAATTATTACGCCTCAGCCTTAAAAATTTAATTATTCAAGAGGACTTTGAAAGACCCTCACATCTAATATAATATTTTTGTCTGAATAAGTGTCTTCATCTGGGTAGTTGTCTATTAAGTTGTAAATATTGGAAAGGTTGTCAGCTATATTATATGCATTAGCGCTTGTGCTTGGATTGTTTCCCATTATTGATAATTGGTCATGTTTGTGTCATCAGGAATGAGATTGTGGATGGTACTTATAAGATTGTTCATTGTTTGGTTGGTTTTTTGAATGGTTACATGAATTTGTTTTTATCGTGCTTTAAGATCTTGAATTTCATTATTATTTTTGAATTCATTTTCTTGACTGGTTTCAATCGGGTCATTGTCTGTCTCTTGCTCTGGAATGATTTCTGTTTTCTCCATGGCCCCCACTCCATCTTCATCATAATATTCCAGATTTGTAATTCTTTCATCCATTTCGATCATTTGTTGTTTAATTTCTGTGAGGTCATGTTGTACTTGTTGAAGAATCTTTAAAATTTGTTGCAGGTTGTTAGGACTGTCTACAAATTGGGTTTGTGCTTGTTGTATTTTGACTGCTGCTGCATAGAATCCTGGCTTGCTAGAACCTTGTTGGCTTTGTTTTGTTCCCATTGTTCTTCTTATATTTAATGTCTTTGCTGGTTTAAACTTTTGATATAGTCTTCCGAATTTTGTTGCTTGTTTTTGATTATACTGTTGCCATTGTGTTCTTCTTTCTTTGATTGGACAGTTTGCTGCTAAATGTGTATGCGCATCACAGATTGCACAAGTCTTATTATCGATTTGAGCCCATGTAATTTGTGTTTTTTCCGAGAGCAAAATCATTTTCTAGTGCGTTCTGTAGGTCCATCTCATTTTCAAAACTAATGACTGCTACTTTTCTTCTTCGGTAGCTACCCATTCTAGGAATGTAGCATGTTTTTGCTTTAACCTGTTGACAAATTGTGCGCAAGTCGAATGCAGTTGTGTTTGGAGGAAGATTGACAAGTTTTGCTGTGATATTTCCTCTGTCTTTCATTTCCTGTAGACTCAGTTGTGCATCGAATACTCTCATTGCGTCTGCTTTAAGCAAGATGCTCCATGTGTTTGTTAATTTCTCTTTGCTGCTCTTTTCCTGGAATGTAATATGGGTGGTTTGCCACATGTGCTGGGTACTCATACTCATGCTGGTAATTTGTCCATACTTGAAGAAGGCTTGACGTACCTCTATGGGTTTTGTGTTCAGGGGGATGTCCCATACTCTGATACTGTTTTCTTGTTTTGTATATGGGGTTGTGGGCGGCATGTGGATCATATGCTTGTTGTCCGTTTCTGAAAAGTTGATTGTGCATGCCATATCTGCAGCTTGTTTATCACCGAAAATGGCTATGATCTGCTCTTCTTCTTGTTTTCCTTCTTTGCAAATTGCAAGGAGACCTTCGGGGCTGTCCAAGACTTTCGTGATATATTGTATCTTTTGCCAGGTGTTGTCTCCTGGTATATCTGATGCTTTGATTCCAATTTTGCTTCGTTGTCTGCCATATCTCGTGCCTCTGTCAAATGGCAAACATGGTCTGGATTTGGTGCTTGTTTTTTCGGTTCTTCCTTTCCCTTTGACTGTTTACTATTCGCTTTGTTCTTCGGAGGGTTCTTGCTCAGAGGCATACATTTCTTCATCACTGTTATCAATTCTTGCTGATCCTAGGATGGATAGGTTTGGTCTGCTACTTGAGGTTGTATCTTTTCCCTTTGTGGTTCCTTATTCCCTGCCGCTTTTTCCGGGATTGCTTGGAGAGTACTGGACGTTTTTTCGAGTTCTTCTTCTACCATCTGGCTCTATCTGCCTTCTGTACTCGCCTGTGTAGGCTTTGAGACTGCTTTTTTTGGGTGTTCCTGTTGTTGTTCTTTTGCTTTGGAAGGCAGTGTTGATACTCGAGTTGGTATTTCCGTTTCTGTCTTGTCTTGTTTCTTGATAGGTTTCTGTGCTGGATATGGTGTTACTTCTCTGTTCTTTGTACTGTTTCTCCCCTTGGACATGTCTATTATATTATAGTTTGGCCTAATGGCTTGGTTGGAGCTTCTCAGACTCCTGTTTGCACTCATTTTTCCATTTCGCTTTGGTTTCCTTTTTTGGTAACTGTATGCATTTGGAAAAGAGAGCCTGATAATTTGCTATATTATAATATATTGATTTGTAATAATTTGCTATATTATAATATAATAATTTTTATAATAATTTGCTATATTATAATATAATAATTTGTTATATTATAATATAATAATTTGTAATAATTTATAAAATTATAATTTGTTGATTATAATATTAAATATAAATAAAATAAATTTAAAATATAAAAACAAAAAATAAATTTAAAATTTAAAAATAAAAAAAAATTTAAAATATAAAAGCAATAAAAAATTTAAAAAATATTAATTATAATAATTTGCTATATTATAATATATTGATTTATAATAATTTGTTATATTATAATATAATAATTGTAAAATTTTTTTTTTTTTTTTAATGGTTGGTTTACACCTTTTATTGATTTATCGGATTGTTTGTCAGAATTAGACATATTAAGATACATCAACAATAGCTAAGAAAAAATTTATACTGCCCGATTTATCACCATTTCTTACAAGAATATGAGAAAAGTATTATTTCCTTAACTGATACTAGGGCACTAGTACTACCTAAAAAATTTTTTATGGGACATTTTCTCTACTATCAACTACTTTACAGATTCTATAAAACTAGATCACCAAACTTCTCATCTTAACCTCGGGAGTTTTGTGTCTCTAACTTCTTGAAAGGGAGAGGAAGGGTTGACTTCTTTCATCACCAACTATACATCATCAGGGAGAGGGAATGGTTTCAGTGACCAGCTTTATTGATTGCATTAATCTCATCTGGGAGGCTGCCTAGGGTATTACTCTCTCAAGAACTGATGGAAACCTATGGCCAGGAGGATCCTTAAAACCTTTGGTAGGGTTAATGACCTTGTCCTTAAGATAATACCTTACTTCAAGTATTGACTGCTTATTTAAAAAGGCGCAAAACTTCCAAAGCAAGGTTACATCTCCAGGGGGTCTTCCATTCTGACAATTGTTATCAACTAGTACCTTCACTAAAGGTAAGAATGGTGGGAATCATTGGCAATCGAAAGGGTGAGTCGTGTCGGTCTTCTTATTGTATATCTTCTATTTATAGTCCGCTGGTTTACTCTTTTATCATATCTATGACATTATCGATAGAATGGGTAACGTATTGTTTATCCACTCGCACCAACACGCATGACTTATGGTGAACCTAAGGTTTTTATGTAATTTAGGAAATACATTCACAACACGTGTTCTCTTGTTTACTTCTTGTTTCCTCTTATTGTTGTTCAACCAGGAGGTCTGTCCAATGAAAACTTAGCAAAATCCAGTATAACCAAAATTTCAGGGTCAAGTTGGAGAAGGCAAAATTCCCTAAAATTTCCAAGAAAAAGATTTCACACTAGAAGCTCATCGGCAATAATCATATTAACTAGAGTTTCTAAGGTTTCAAGTTAATCTTTCTGGACCGGAACTCCATTTTGGATAGAGCTATCAACTATGGGAACCTGAAGGGGAAAGCCAAATGAGAGATTTTCTTCCTGGCATGTCTTTCTTATCGTAGGACATCTAGGTTTGTTTCATGGAAAAAAAGTCTTCTTTCTCCAAGAAAAAGGGGTTTGTCGAAAGAGAAGTAGCAAGGGAAGGAGAAGAATATTTCTGTTAAGGTCCACAGGTTGTTTAAGGATAATGTATGGACTTTATTATTATAGAAAAATAAATTTTCTTGAGAACGTCATTTTGGAGGGTTGGTCAAAGGATCAGCAGAAAGAGTGTTTTGAATTTTAAAAAATAAATATATATTAATGTGAATTTTTATTGATATATAATATCTAAATACATCAAGTATTTTCTATATATAAAAATATATACAATTGAAAGTTTTACATTTTTATATTTTCTATATATAAAATTAGTATTATATATTGACTATTTCTAGTAATAGCTTATAGAAATAAATTTTTGTTAAAATCCAAGTAAGAATTATGTTTTATTTTTGTTAGTTTGTTAATAGCTATAATAAAACTGCTATATAAATATTTAATTTGATAATTAATATATTTGAAAAAGTAAAAGAATCAAAAAATATCTTTCCCACATGAAATAAATTGCCTTTTTAGGAAATATTGAAAGAAAGTGACAAGAAAGTGAAAGGTACAATGGGAGTTACCCAAGCATCAACGTCAAGTGTGGGCAGAGGAAAAGGTACGGAAAGGAAAACCATTAATGCAACCAGAGAAGCAAGAGTGAAGGCAACAGCCATCAACAAGAGAGGACCAG